GCCTGGGAACTGCACAGAGCTCCCAATACCGGCGGGAGCAAAGCACCCCAGACTCCAGATCTTCTCTCCCACCAACGATTCCAGGAAAGGAGAGGAGGCTGGGAGTACAGGGAAGTAGCTGTCCCTCTGGCATCATCAGGTAAACAGGCCAGCTTCCCAGCCTGAGTTCCAGAGCCTGCAGATCGCCTGGGAACTGCACAGAGCTCCCAATCCCGGCGGGAGCCAAGCACCCCAGACTCCAGATCTTCTCTCCCACCAAAGAGACCAGGAAACTACAGGAACCAGGGAGACCAGGGGAGTAGCTGTTCCGGATCAGGTACAACAGGACCCAGCATAGGGTCCAGGGGACCAGGTAGGAGGCTAAGCGCCCCAGATTCCTGTTCTTCTTCTCTACCCACGGACCAGCATTTGGACAAGGCATAGAAGAACCACCAGATTACTGGACTTACTAGCACCCACCAAAAGGGAACTCTGGTCCCCAGACCAGGAAGGGGCTCTTTCTGCACCCACTAAAAGAAGAGATGGGAAAGAGACAATACAAAAACACAGTCAGCAACAGAAAAACAAATATGACACCGCCAGATTCTAGAGACTCCACACCAGCAAGACCCCAATATTCAAACGCGAAGGAAGCAGAAGAGAACGATCTTAAAAGCACTTTCATGAAAATGATAGAGGCCCTAAAAGAGGATATTGGAAAATCCCTCAAAGAAATGGAAGAAAAAACAAACCAAAAAATGCAAGAAATGGAAGAAAAAACAAACCAAAAAATGCAAGAATTGGAAGAAAAAACAAACCAAAAACGGCACGAAATGGAAGAAGAAATGAAGCAAAAAATGCAAGAAATGGAAGAAAAAGCAAAGCAAAAAATGCAAGAATTAGAAGAAGAAACATACCAAATAAGGCAGGAAATGGAAGAAGCAACAAAGCAAAAAATGCAAGAAATGGTAGAAAAAACAAAGCAAAAAATGAAAAAAATGGAGGAAGAAACAAACCAAAAAAGGCAGGAAAGGGAAGAAGAAACAAAGCACAAAATCCAAGAAATGGAACAAAAAGCAAACCAAAAAATGCAAGAAATGGAAGAAAGAACAAACCAAAAAATTCATAAAAGGCAACAAACGGACGAACAGATAAACAGAAAATTGCAAGAAGCAATGCAAATGCTGCAAGGGTTGAAAACTGAAATAGAGACACTAAAAAAAACACAATCTGAAGAAAGGCAGAAAATAGAAAAGCTGGACAAACAGTCAGGCACTACCAATACAAGCATTACCAACAGAATAGAAGAGATGGAAGAGAGAATCTCAAGTGTTGAAGATACATTAGGAGAAATGGATTTATCAACCAAAGAAAACCTTAAATCCAACAAATCCTTAACACAAAACATCCAGGAATTATGGGACACCATGAAAAGACCAAACCTAAGAATAATAGGTATAGAAGAAGGAGAAGAAATCCACCTCAAAGGGGCAGAAGGCATATTCAACAAAATCATAGAAGAAAACTTTCCCAACCTTAAGAAAGACATGCCAATGAAGGTACAAGAAGCCTACAGAACACCAAATAGAGTGGACCACAAAAAAAATCCCCTCGCCACATAATAATCAAGACCCCAAACATACAGAATAAAGAAAGAATATTAAGAGCAGCTAAGGAAAAAGGTCAAGTAACATATAAAGGCAGACCTATCAGAATTACACCTGATTTCTCCATGGAAACTCTGAAAGCCAGAAGGTCCTGGATAGATATTCTACCTACACTAAGAGACCATGGATGCCAGCCCAGACTACTATACCCGGCAAAGCTCTCAATCACTATAGACGGAGAAAACAAGATATTCCATGACAAAACTAGATTCAACCAATATGTGTCCACTAACCCAGCCCTACAGAAAATTTTGGAAGGAAAACTCCAACCCAAGGAAGCTAACTACAACCAGAAAAACATAAGCATTAGAGAATCCCTCTCTACCAACAGCCAAAAGAACAAAGGGGCGAAATTCCACCCATAATTCCACCAACAACAACCATCGCAAATCGAAGAAGGATGAGCAATCAATGGTCATTAATATCCCTCAATATTAATGGCCTTAACTCACCCATAAAAAGACACAGACTAGCAGAATGGATTCGAAGACAGAACCCTTCCTTCTGCTGCATACAAGAAACACACCTCACCCTCAAAGACAGACATTACTTGAGAGTTAAAGGTTGGGAAAAAATTTTTCAATCAAATGGACCCAAGAAACAAGCAGGGGTAGCAATCCTAATATCTAACAAACTAGACTTTAAAATAAAATCAATCAAAAGAGAT